AATTGTGTAAAAGAAATTTCAATGCTGTATATATATCAACTAGCTAATTGATCTTGTTCTGTGTGATCTGCACTGCCTACATTTATTTGGAACTGTAAACTGCAGGGTGGTAAAAATGAAAATCAAGCAGAATTTAAAAAAAAAAACATGTATTTTTAACTGCGGTTATATATATAACCGCCGTTAAAAGAATATTCCACGGCGGTTTATAAATAAACCGCCGTGGAAAATTGATTTTCCACGGCGGTCATATGTAAAACCGCCGTGGAAAATGGAGTTTCCACGGCGGTTAACTAGAAAACCACCGTGGAAAATCAACTTTCACGACGGTTCAAAATCGCCGTGTTTTCTTTACCTTTCAACGTCACCTTTATCAACTTCGCTTTCAAAACCGCCGCGAAAAGCCACTATTAACCGCTGTGAAAAGTCTTTTTTCTGGTAGTGCAATTAAAATTAAAACCAAATAATATTCCCTAATAAAGCTAAATAACTGAAATATCTAAAAAAAAATAATTAATTGTTAGTCGATAACCCATTAGGTTCAATGCCCGTTACTCTCTAAATTTTCTCTAATGTGCTGTTTTTCAAAATAAAATATCGATATTATTTTTGTATAAAATTAACATGTGTGTGATATATATGTAATTTAATATAGATATGTAGTTTTCTTAAAATATAGGACAGAATAATTTGAAAGTTCTTACAGTTTCAATCAGTTTTGAATCAGATCCTTGAGTATTTTTTTCTTTTTATAGGGTCATCTAACTTTTTAAGGTTAAATTTATGAGTATTTCTGTTAAATAAAAATGAGCACCATTAGAAATCTTGGTTAATGTCTAAAACATGCCTATTTTCTCTGCTTCGGCCATAACCCAGACCATGCTCACATCCCTCTTTTCTCATTCCTCAACATCTTTTTCTTTCCCACCATTCGTTCCCATCAGTGTCATCGGCAATGACAGCGTCATCTGAGAAGCAGAATTGCTAAAACCACCACATTAGGACATTTGGGAGGTAGTGCGTGTTGGTGGACTCACCCTTCTTCCAATGGTTCGATTTCTTTTTAATTTAGAGTGTTAAGTGTTTGAAAAAACATTTGGGAGGTAGTGCGTGTTGGTGGACTCACCCTTCTTCCAATGGTTCGATTTCTTTTTAATTTAGAGTGTTAAGTGTTTGAAAAAATTATAAAAAATTGAAAAATGATTCTTTTTTTGCATATGAGATATCAAAATGTTATCATTTTATGTAGAATCTAATAATGTAAAGACCCAAAAAAAAATTGGGAAGGGCCTAAAAAATGAGGTACAGCTGGGGGTGCAGATGAAGAGGCGCAACTAGAACTCCCAGCGGGATATCAAAAGACTAGATGTCCAGCGCCCTTGGTTTTGATTATAGCGGCAGAGGAATATGGGTTGGGAAGTTTTTGTGAGAGATGGGTTTCGCAGATATTGATATTTGCCAAGTCTTTCTGAGACCAACAACATATTCTATTAACATCAAGTTCAGCGTGCAATAACTTTCCCACCAAACATGCATGCGATTACTACTACTGCAAAAACACGAAAAAGATAAAAAAAGAATCAACACAATCATCTACAACCTGGTTAAAAGGGGGGGGGGAGTCACCTATAGCGCACGCTACCCACTCACAAGGAACAGTCCATGCATGAGCAGAGACGAATGGCTTCATTTTTTTGTATATTCTTATGGTGCCTTGTGGGAAGGAATGGTGAGTTCGGGAGAATGGTGGGGAAGAAAAAGATGTTAAGGAATGAGTAAAAGAGGGATGAGAGCATGGTCTAGGCTGAAGAAGAGAAAAGGAGAAGAATGTTTCAGAGGTTAATGGGGTTTAGCAAAAGGACTAATAAATCTAACTTTAAAAAGTTAAAGGACCCAATAAGAAAGAAAAAAAAGAGGAAGCACAAGGTCCCAATTCAAAACTAAGTGAAATTATAATACATCCAAATTAATTTTCCCTTTACATATACAAACTAATTAATTATTCCCAAATTTTGAGAAGTTTAAAAAACCATTTTATTCCTTATATAAATTTTAACAAATTTATTGCATATAATGGCCTAATGTTTTTAATTAGGCATGAACAAGAATTACTCGTCATTTTTTTAGTTTTTTTCCGGCCAAATACTCATGAAAGTTTTTTAATTAAATAATAAAACAAATCTCACAAAGGCCCAAGTCGAAACTAAAAAATAACAGAGCACAAACATTTTTATTTTTATACGGCAAAATATTTGCAGATTTACTAGTTCTCTTCATTTTGGCATAGGAGTCTATGAACAAGACATATGCAAGTAAGTATGACATGTAATAGCCGATGCTATGTTCAAGAAGGACGGCACCAATCTAGTCTGTGGGAAGTCTTACGTATTTTGTTCGGGAGATTAGGGACTTGAAGGAGGCCGTCATTGATTTTGAAAACTCATATGCTTCTGCTTCATTTACTATGTAACACCCTTTCTAACATCCCACAATAAATTAAAACACAAATATACATTGGCTAACATTGATTAAAAAAAGAAAAAGATGTTGCAAACACAAACACGCTATTAAGGTTAGAAAAGAACCTTCTTAAGTTTACCAGCTGTTATCTGTGATAGAATAGGATTTCACTAATATGATCACCTGTCATGGATATTAAAAATTGGCTTATCACACATGTATCATCACCATCTCATAGGATTCATGGCATTTATAACCATGTTAGATAGGAACACTATCAGTTTAACATGGTTATCGAGAATTTTACGCTCCTGATTGATGACAAATATAAGCAACTGGTCATAGTTCAAGAGTAGGGCCTCCGGCCTCAACATCAATCATCTAAATTCAATGAATTGCATCAATGAAAATTAAAAGAAGTCTTTGCAAGTGGTGCCACATAAATCCCAGTCAAAAGCAACACCTAAGGCGTCTAACCAACTAAAAGCGTGCATTCCATATATAACATAAAAGAAGTGAAACGATAGTCCAAAGTTCAGCAACATTTGCCGCAGCAAATATAGTCTTTTGCTGCGGTGAAGAACACCAAAACAACTAAAGTGAATAATAAATCATGCAACTGATTCACGGTCCTAACGTGGGAATATTACAGTGAAATCAAAGCGTAATGAATGGTGGAGGCAATAAGAAAAAGGAGTGAGATGAATGTTTCAGTCAAAGCCATTAAGTTGGAGAGCCATAAACGGTAACATGGTGTAATAACCATCTTTTCATCAATCATGTACTTCAAGCTATGTTGATTGATTTGGATTATATAAGTTCCTCTAGAAATATCTTGCTGTCACTATAACATAGCAAATTCATACAGAATTTTGCCATTCATTTCTGGATTTTGTTTCCACGAAAAGGATTTATAAACTCTGATCTTATATTTCCAAAGTGATGTGTAAGAAATGATTTTGAGACTATCATATTTTGAAGAGGATCGTTGTTTTCATCATCACAGCTCTCCTTTTTCTTGAATCAGAATAATTCTTTTCACAGATGAAGATTTTACATGTAACCTTTCTTGGACGAAAGAAACTTTGGATATTAAAAAACAAAAGGTGAATATGTTTCACACGGGTCTGGATCCTCTCAGCGGCAGCGTATCTCAGCGTCCCAATATGGTCCATCAGATTAATCTAAGGTTATGTTTGGTAGAAAGCATTGAAAATGAGGAATTGGGATTGGGATTATAATTAAGAAAATTTATTGAAAGAATGTTTAGTATAAGAGATTGCTTGTTATAAAGGATTAGCCAAACCTACATATGTGGGATTGGAGAATACCATGGGGGGAAGTGGTATTTCCCAATCTCACCTCTATGGGTTTGCTTAATCCCATATAATAAGTGATTATTCATACTCAATACTATTTTAATGATTTTTTTCAATTACAATTTCAATCACAATTCCTCATTTTTAATGTTTCGTACCAAAGGGGACCTAAGATCTCACAACATGCCACATCATCATGCTATTAAAAATTGAAAATGAATCTGATTGACACAATAAAATTGCTGAGTAGCTTTAAACTATTTTAACTGTAGAATTAGGAGTCTGGACTGATATAAATTGAGTCAGATAGGATCACAAATAGATGTAAAATTATGCTAACAAGCATTCTAATTAAAAAATAAAGAATAAAAAATTTGGTATAGTTTTTCCACTCTTTATGGTTTTATATGACTCGATCTCTGTTAAATCTTTCGGTAGAAGTTGGATCAGTCCAAAAAATTACATAAGCATATATATGTTTGGTGGTTAAGGATTTTCATCATCTATGATTATTTGAATCAGTTTAATGTCTGGACCTCTCAAAAATTCTCCAGTTGAAATGAGTCAGGAGGAAAATATTTTTTGAATACATGCTAAAAAAAATCTAAATAGTTAAAAGCTGGCAAAAAATTTTATACTATCATTAAGATTTATCACTAATTTTTAATAACATAATGATGTGGCACAACGCGAACTGTTATATTAATTTCAATGGCTGAGATTTGGATGCTGAGAGCATGCTTTTCCGTTTCACCCACATAATTGAGAGCATTAAGTAGCAAATTAATGTTGCTCCAGGAGGTGGAATGTATTAAAGTCATGAGCACCAGAAATTGAGAAAATCAACATCATCGCTAAGGCAAAAGAGCAAAACAATTTGATGGCCAATGAAAGTAGAGAAGCCTGTGTGGGTGGGTAAGAATAATGGAGAAGAAAACTTATAAGAAAAATGTGAAGGTAATCTTTAAAAGTTTAAATACAGACTTAATTTTCATTCGAAAATTAGATACTAATCAGCGCAGTTAATGTCTTAATGATACACATATATTCAAATGAAGCTTACCATTGCAATGCATCATACCATGAAAAAGAGAAAATACATAACATGCAATCTTATGGCACTGTTTAAGGGTGAACAGTGTTGAAAATCAAACCATAGTCCAGTAATATCAATAAAAGGTTCTTGAAAAGATGAATAACATCACAATAAAAGGTACACACTCAGTTATTGACAAGAGGATACCATCTTGTTGCCAATCTCAGCTCCTCCCTCACAATGCGTTTAAATGTACCTTCAAGTGGGTCGCCGCTGCATGCAAAGTTAAAAAGAGAAAATTAATCAAGCTTGGGCCTTTGTAAGATTTGTTGCATATAATAGCTTAATGTGGCCTTTGCAAGATTTGTTGCATATAACAGCTTAATGTTTTTAATTAGGCATGAAAAAGAATATAATTATTCATATGTCGTTATTACTTATTTGCAAGTCAGTTGTTGTTAGAAACCATTAAAGCATAAGAAATCAAAATTGATTTAGGATTTCATCATTTCAAGTTTTTTTTTTTCAAAGGAGTCTCTCCATCATTTTTTTGCCAAATACTCATTAAAAGTTTTTTGATTAAATCATAGAAAAGGACCATACAAATTAAAGGCCCAAGCCAAAACAAAACAAAGGGCATAACACCCAAAACCAGCAGACAGCAACCGGCGAAAAAAAAAATTTAACCAAATTATAGAAGGGTTAATATAATTTTTGGTCCCTCAAGTTTGACTTCATTTTAATTTGTGTCTCTCAAATTTTAAATAAGAGGTTTTAGTCCCTAAAGGGGCAAAATGTTCTATGTACAAAAACCAATGTTTTATATAAAAAGAAACTTAAGAGATCAAATCCTATGGTTTGAAATCTAAGAAACCAAAACCAAAATGAGGACAATAATGAGGAACGAAAAATTTGTATTAACCGAATCATAGGCCACAAGCAGATTTATATGTCAAAATATTTATAAATTTACTATTTCTCTTCATTTTCGGTGCAGTTCTATAGAAGTGCATAAACGAGACATGTGCAGGTAGACGTGATAATATCAAAATTTTCTTATATGCTATGCGTACTTTAACTAAGAATTCTACAAATTTTAAAACGCTGTGAAATTCAAATGCAACGATCCATATGAAATATTGCGAAAATAAATATTATTCACAGATATTATAATCTCGTGACAAATATTTATATGCATGCAGCGTTTGGGTCATTTGCATGGAAGTAAGAATACTTTGGTCGAATGCTTTTAACTGATTGCGATTACTTGGCAGAAATAATTACCTTTCCAATTTTGATGAAATAAGCCGCTTGGTAGCTTCGTCTTGCCATTCCAATTGATCCAACCACTTAGATTCTCCTCGAAAACATTTTAGATTTTTCAATGCACTTTGAGAATTAAATGGGAGCTTCTTCAAACTGGGGCAATGCGTTACTTCAATCACCTTCAAAAAAGGACATTGCAATGCCATTCTGCAAATGCTCCTTAAGTTACTCAGACGTGCCAAAACAAGGTGAGTGAGACTAGAGACACTACAAAAAAATTGAACTTTCAGCGGCGACAAAAGAAGTCGCCGCTGAAAATATGACTTTTAACTGCGACAAGAACTGTCGCCGCTAAAAGTCATGCCTTTTTGCGGCGACAAGTATGTCGCCACCAAAAGTGATAGTTATGGCGGCGACTTATTATTGTCGCCGCTGTAGGTGCAAACTTTCAGCGGCGACAAAATTTGTCACCGCCCAAAGTGTACACTACGGCGGCGACTTGAATGGTTGCCGCTGAAAGTCTACACTTTTAGCGGCGGCGACAATTCAAGTCGCCGCTGAATTTTTTTTAGCGGCGAATAAATGTCGCCGCTGAATCTTCTTTCAGTGACGACTCTTTATGTCGCCACTGAATCCTGCTTTCAGTCGCCGCTGAATCTTTTTTCAGTGGCGACACTTTTTGTCGCCACTGAAATTGCTTTTTGTCACTGCTGAAAGTTTTTTCACATTTTTTTATCATTTTTTATTTTTTGTAAAAATTTTATATAATAATCTTTTATTTGTGTAATTAAGTGACTTTGATAATTAATGTTTTTTATGTATTTTTGTGTTAGAGAGAGACTAAAAGAAAGATAATATGGTGTTTGAGAGAGAAAGGGGGAGGAAGAAAGTTTGGAGTGTGTTTAACACACATATACCATATCCAAATGTTTGAGAGATGGAATAGAAAAACATTGTGCATGGGAGAGAAATGAGAGGAGGCATGCATGAAAAAGTCTGCAAGTTTGAGTGATGGGGTAAGTAATGAAGTATAGAGTGTGTGTGAGAGGTAGATGTAAATATTATTAGAAGAGAGATAGTGTGTATGTGTGAGAGAGAGAAGGATATTATAATTGAAAGAGATAACATAATTAAATATATGAGAGAGATTATTATAATTAAATTAGTGTGAGCATACTTAATTGACATAATAATATTTGATGATGAACATATGTATGAGAGGATTGAGAAATAAAATTATTGAAGGAGATAATGTAATTAATTAAAAATGTGAGAGAGATATAGATAATAAAATCATGTATATAGTTAATTAAATATTATTACTATTTATATTTTTTATTTAAAATGTGATTAATTAAATTTTGTAAAACATATACAGTTGTATATTATAGATATATATTTTCTATTGCTTGATAGTTTCAATTAAATTCATTATCTTGGCTGGCCATGCTTGCTTATGTCAATTTAGAGGTCCTGTGTTCAAGTCTAACAAATGTCCATTTTTCACACATTTATTTTGGCTCAAAAAGGTTAAAAATAATTAATTTGTTATTTGGCTGGTTCGAACAGGGGACCTGGTAAAAACCAATACTCCCCCTGCCACTAAAGCCACGCATGTTTTTGGCAAGGCTTTTGCATTGTTTTTATATCTAAAGTTTTTCATTTTGAAACCCAAAACAATTTAACTTGTGCGCCCCAATCTTCTGAAAAGTTTACTTTTCCCTCTCACCAGTGCTGGCCGTGCAGAAAAGTTTTGAGCATCTAACTTATTCCAGCGTCCATCTGTGTTTAGTCCATCACTTCCAGCGTTGTTTCTTGCTGTCATCCATGTAAGTGCGCTGATCTTCTTCTTTGCTTGAAGTCTTGTAGTGCTGTATTTTTTTTCCCCTTTCTTGTTTTGCATTTTGAGATCTGTTTTTTCCTCCAATTTGCTGTGATTGATTGTGTGTGTGTTTTTTTTTTGAAATCCTCTAGATTTAATGGCTGTCATGTGTATGTGTTGTTTACTGAAAGAAGAAAATATTTTCTAATTGTACAAACTGAAGCCAAAGAGGGTTTGTGATGTCAAGCAACAAATGCGACAACGATTCTGGCTAGTTAGAGATATGCAATGATTAATTAAGTCTGATCCCCTATGCTTCTTATGTGCTTATAAATAGTTTCTTTGATCACTATCTCTGTCCATATGTATCGTGTGACGAATTCCTCAGCTCTCATCTTCACCCTGCGTCTGCGTTGAATCTATGATGCTTTGTTAGTTTGGCTTATATACTTGTTTAAGTTTGGATTCTCTCTCGTTGGTTTTTGTTTTGGTGATACCAAAGTTTCACAGATCCTTTTATGTGGTTTAATAAAGTTCAACATAAAAGTCATATTAAAAATTATCTACCAAAGTCTTAGGACGCGGAGATTCTAAATGTATAATCTAGTGCTTAAAACGAGGATATATATACTTAACTACTGGATCCAATGAAGCTGCTGAGGAACTTAAGGTTGTGTCTATCAAGGTCAAAGGTCTATTATTAAATTATAATATTGGTCGTTGCTTGGTTTCTTGGAGTTATTGATGTGGGTAATGCTTAGTAATTAAACTGCAGCTTCCTCCCACCACGTGCTAGTTGGAGTTATTGATGTGGGTAATGCTTAGTAATTAAACTGCAGCTTCCTCCCACCACGTGCTAGTTGGAGTTATTGATGTGGGTAATGCTTAGTAATTAAACTGCAGCTTCCTCCCACCACGTGCTAGCTTCTTCTATTTCTGTCTCTGTGTGTTGTATGGCTCAATTATTTATCTATTTATCATAAGATTGTGCCATAATTCATTTATTACCTTAAAAAAGCAGAAAACGAAGATGATGCCAACAAGACAGACTAATAACATGTAGTTCGCATCTTTGAAAAAGATATACATAATTTGGATTTCATATTATTCGACTAGAGCAGTTCGCATCTAAGTGATTCTAGAAGAGTCTTCATACATGGTTCGAATTATCCATGCGTTGCATAATTCCTTATTGTAAACTCAGGGGAAACCTCCCGATTGGCAAGACTTTGTCGGAATCATCACACTCCTATTTATCAATTCCACAATGAGTTTCATAGAGGAGAACAACGCAGGTAATGCTGCTGCAGCTCTCATGGCTCGACTAGCACCCAAAGCTAAGGTATTAATTTAATTACAAAGAACTTATATTTGGCAATTGGCACCAGTACTTCTCTGTTTGTATATTAAAGTGCAGGTTTTATGTATCAGAATTAGCTTGTGTCTGGTTGAAACAATTTAATACTTCTCTGTTATCATGTACTTTTGATATGATTCGTGACAAAATTATTTAGGTCCTTCGAGATGGGACATGGGTTGAGGAGGATGCAAGCATTCTTGTTCCTGGTGACATAAGTAGTGTGAAGCTACGAGATATTATTCCAGCTGATGCTCGTCTCCTCGATGGCGATCCATTGAAGATTGATCAAGTACATTCTGCAACATCTGTTTTTTTTTCTTTTGTTGAGAAGTTGAAATCAGATTATCATATGGATGAGCTGAGTTGTTATTATGCACAAAACTTGGGTTGCAGTCCGCACTTACAGGCGAGTCCCTTCCTGTGACGAAAGGACCCGGCGATAGTGTTTATTCAGGCTCTACATGCAAACAGGGGGAGATAGAAGCAGTTGTTATTGCTACAGGAGTTCATACTTTCTTTGGCAAGGCTGCTCATCTTGTGGACTCAACGAATCAAGTGGGACATTTTCAAAAGGTGCTCAGGAAAAATAATTGAAATAGATAATCTTCAACGTCGACTGCAGGAACATCTGTTTTGTTTGCAAATGAAGAGTTGATGACTTGATGAGGAACTTTTGATTGCTTATAACTGTCTGTCCTTCCTTGCTTCCCTGTTTTCTTATTCCGTGCAGCAGAACGAGAAAAGATGGAAGCAGAACGTGCTGCAGAGCGAGCAAAGATGAAAGCAGAGCGTACACAACTTGAACAAAGGATGGAGCAATTGATGGAACAGAGAATACAAGCTCAGTTCACTGCTTTCATGCAAAAGATGCAGTTAAATGCTCCTGCAGATACCCCTACTTCTAGCGTCCCTAGTATTGGTCCCTCTATGTAATTTTTCTTTTGTATTATGTAATGTATCTTTTAATTGAATAATGTTTTTTTTAGTTAAAGACATAAAAACACTTTGATGGTTATAAATCTTATTATTTAATATACTATATTTGTGTGTTAATTACTTTATTTTTATTAAACCTTTTGATAATATTTATCAGGAATATAAATAAAGTTTTTAGCATAATTAATATATTATAAAAATAATTAAAATCACAAAAAAAAGATAATCAACGGCGACTATAATGTCGCCACTGAAAATATAATCAGCGGCGACATTCAAGTCGTTGCTGAAATAGGCTTCAACAGCGACGGAAATGTCGCCGTTGAAGACTGTTTTAGCGGCAACATTAGTCGCCGCTGATTCTTATGTGTCAGTGGCGACCCACCCGGGTGGCAAACTCATCAGCTTTCAACGGCGACGCTGAATGTCTAGTTTCAGCGGTGACGAAAGAATGTCTAGTTTGAGCGGCGACTTTTTGTGTCGCCACTGATAAGTTTCAGCCACAGCCGCTACGGCAACGACCTGGTAGTGACGAAATGTCGCTGCTAAAGTTTTTCAGCGGCGACTTTTGGACTTTTGTCGCCGCTGAAAGTCAAATTTTTTTTTAGTGAGAAAAGATTACTTTTCACTCTCTCAGTGTCAGCAGTCCCAAAATCTTCACTTATAACTTCCACCAATGAATCACAATGGAATACTTCAAGGACTTGGAGGTTTGGAACACGTATAAGCCAATTCAAGTCAAGGTTATTTGGAAACCATCCGATATGCAACTCACAAAGGGTGATTATGTAATCATGTACCCAAAATGACCTCCTCGGAATATCCACAGCTTCTGATTCCTCTTGTTCTCTGTGCTCCTGAACTTGTAATATTTCAAGATGCTCCATTTTTCCAAGTGATAAGAACAAGTCATGGACTGGTAAGTTTACTCCTACAACAGATAGCTCACATATGCGCCTTTGCAATTTTGAGGAGATCAGTATTTTTTCAATAGAGGATGTGCTAAAGACAAAAATGCGTATATCTTGAAGATTATCTAAGCCTTCAAGCTCATTTAACAACACATTTTCATCAATACCTTGAACTTCTGACCCTCTCATGCTAAAAGCTTGAAGAGATAACAAGCTGGATATGATTTCTCCTGGGATTTCAAGCTTTGCTAGTTTGTCTAGCAACAAGAACCTCAGCTTCTTCAAATTCTTCAACTCCTCTAGCAATTTTGTTATATACGTATTGCTTAGGTTCATGTGTTCTAGATTTACGAAGTCCCCGATGGTTGATGGTAGATTTTTTATTCCAAAATTACTAGACAAGTCTATTACTCTAAGAGTACTTGGAAGGACAAATACCTCAGTTGGAAAGACTTCTATCCCAGTATTCCTAATAAGCAGAGTGACGAGATTGGGACAATGAGGTTTTTGTGAGAAGTTGACACTCATTTCACCCCAGCCCCACATTGATAACTTTTCCACCTCTTTCCACTTTGCATGATTTTATACTCCAAGCCCTGTTGTCTTGGAACAATCCCTTACAGAGAATCTTCTTGTTTCCCCATGACCACAAGCTAGCCAGAGAGCCATATCTTTGATCACATCATGCATCTTAATTGTACCTTCTCTCCCACCATTTTCCAATAGGCAAGCATATTTTAGAGTTGAGATTATATCTTCTCCTTCCTTACATGCTTCATGAATATCGTAATCAAATTTAACCAACAAACCTTCTGCTATCCATAGCAAAATGAGCATTCGTTTATCAATGTTATAATCTTCAGGGAACAAGGCGCAATACAGAAAACATGATTTGTTAAGTATCATTTGGCAATCCCTCATAACTAAATTCAAGCAAGGCATAGACATCTCCAACAATACCTTGGACCTTTGAGGGACAACTCCTGAAAACTTCTATACTATGCTTTCATTCATTGGGAGTAATCTTGTTGGCCATGGCACGTCCAACAGTACAAAGAGCAAGTGGCAGCCCTTGACACTCGTCCACCACTTGTTTTGCAAGAGGCAATATATGAGGGCTTTCAAGAGTAGCTTCACCCATTTTTTCCTTGAACAACTCAAACGCTTTATCTGGTGCGAGGCAATCTACTTTTATGCACCTCTGTGCATCCATTAGGCCGCATACCTCTTCCAACCTAGTTGTGAATATTATCTTGCATTCATGATTTTTAGGAGAAGGAACCCCCAATTTCAACATATCAACTCTTTCCCACACATCATCTAATAACAACACAAATTTCTTCTTAATTAAGACATTGTATAACAAAAGAGCTCTTTCATGCATTGTCTTATTGCTCCAGATATAATCTTGTACACACAATTTCTTCCTAATGGCATCTTGAATGCTTTGAGGATCTGCATCTTTAGACGCCACAACCCAGATGACTACATTGCTTACTTTCTTGGATAAGAAATCATTGTTGAATTTCTTAAGTAGAGTTGTTTTGCCTACCCCTCCCATTCCATACAAACCAATGATACCCATCTGATTGTTCTCAAAGCATGAACACAGCTCCTCAAATGTTGATTCTACACCCATAACTTTATCCACAGGAAGTTCATCGAACTGATCGCGAGCAAACTTTTCTGCCACAACATCAAAATGCCCTTGGCTTGTAAGATTGTTAACTTCACTCAACTTTTGGGTGACCATTTTTTGTAGCTTGTAGCTAGCCCGACAATTCTTGGGACAGCGACCTCCATAACATTTGGCTTGTATTTCTTCATCACCTTGCTGTAGAATGGCTTGGATTTCATTTTGTAGGACTTCTACTCTGCCCATCCAACCCCTTACCTCATTCAAAACCATTAGCGCTGGATCTGGATCCTGTTGTGCCGTTTCGACCCTCATCTTGACATCAAGATACATGTCATTGAGTTGACTTGAAGCATTTTCCAAAGAGTTGAGGCTGTCTCCTAGCTGGCGTATTGAATCTGCCCACTTGGAGCAATAACCACACAAACAAGTTAGGATGTCAAGGAGCGGAGTAATAACATCGGCCATGGTTTGGTTTGGGTGCAGCAAAGAAGTGAAGAACGAACGAAATGCTGAAGGAGAAGATAGAAATGCGGTTAATGGCGGATAGCAATTTTCTCTTCTTGAAGGACGATTAAAGTGGATGATCCAACGAGCAATCCCATAGAAAAGTTACGATAAACAAAAAATTTTTAAAAATTTAAATTACTTAGAAAGTGTATAATGCAATTAGCTTTCACCATCAACGGTCAGAAACAGCACTCCTTATTTTCGGATCGCATGCACGTGATGGCTCACTATATTATATTGCCATATTTGTGTAAATGGAGGTCACATGCATTCGAGGCAATCTTCGAAAAACCAAAAAAAGAAAAGAAAAAGAAAACAGCAACAAAGAAAGAGATACACACCTACAAGCAGCACGTCATCATGTTCGACAAAGCTGTCAATTAACTATTAATGCCCGACTTAGGTCTTTAATTTGACAGATTATTTTAAGCAGGTGAAATATTCTGCCACTTCAAAATTACTCCCTTTCATGAGCACACTTTTTTTTTATATATATATAAGGTACACTTAAAATATATATATATATATATATAATTTTAACTAATTTTTTTCATTGTTATCTTTATTAATTAACAATTTACTCTCTCTCCCCCTCTCTTTTTTTCCCCAACACACGCTGTCTTTCTCAAACATATTTTTTCTATTCATTCTCTCTCTTTTCATAAATAAAGATATTGTTTTGAAAAAAAATATTTTTTTTACATATTTATTATTTTTAATTCAAGTACGAAATAGGGTAGTAAAAAAATTCAAGTAAGAAATACAAAAATATTTATATAGCTTACTCTTTCTCAAGCGTCATTTCCTTTTTTTTTTTTTAAGTCTTTTTATTTTTTATTTTTAAAGAAAATTCTTCTCACCTTTTTACCCCGTCATCTTCCTCTCACATCACAGATTGACACTTTCTGCTCATTAAGGGACGGAACCCACAGAGAAACATATCTTTTAGCTCTTCTTATCTGCCTTTTATATTTGATATTCAAGTTTCAAATGTAGTTAGATTCCTAGTTGCAAATATCTCAATCAATATTTATATAATATCTTTTAAAAAATTATTAAGCGACTTAGTTATCATTAATTTGTATTTTTCGTACCTTAAAATTAAATTTTTGGGCAAAAAAGTTGATTTTGTTGATTTTTTTAGAAAAAAGAAGTTATGCACATACGGAAAGCCAAAGTCAAGGAAAAGTGAAACAATGTCCTATATAAGAATACCATCAGAAATAAAAGAAACATAGCAAAACCATTTATTTATTATTATTATTTTTAATTTAACTACTATTTAATTTTCATAATAAGGAGGGGAATGGTAAACCTTAAAATTAGAAGGTGTTCATCCTTACAATTAACGCCTATTATTACATTTACACCTTCATCCCCTCGTAACACGACAAGACAAGTCACGTGACTCCACCTTCTCGATATTTCCAACGAGGACCACTGCTGATCACCTTTTTTTGGGAGCCATTCCTAACAAACCTTTTTTTCAATTTTTTTCATCAATTTTGAGGAAAATATATTATACTTCTTTTGTTCTAATATAATTTTTTATTTTTTAAATTTATTTTATTTTGGTTTGGATCTCTTCAATTTTAAATTATAGGTTTTGGTCACCAAGTTTCTTGTCATTTAAAATATTTTTGTCTTTATAATTCAATAAAAACTTGAGCTATTTTGCCTTTTAAGGGACTAAAATTTATGATTTGAAATTTAAAGAACCAAAACTAAAATAAGGTCAAACTTGAGGAACTAAAAATTATATTAACTTATTTTTTTCAAAGTAAAGTTAAAATGACATTTAGAAGGGTTAAGGTGCTTTTAAAGTTTTTATTTAGAAGCGTTGAAAATCCGAAAGTTTTTTTTGAAAGCAAATTTATCTCGGAAGTTTAAAATCATAGCAATACTAGCCCTTACTATTAAAAAAATTAAAATCACCGTTAAAATAGTGATATTGATCATTATATTTTTAATGGTAAAAGGTAATATTTTTATAGTTTTAAACTGTAAGAATAAATTTGCCTCTAAAAAAACTCTCCAATATCCAACACTCAAAAAACTTCCGAGATGAACTTGTACCATAGCTCTACTTAGAAAAATAAACCGTACAAAGTAGCAAAGCGTTACAAAGTTATAACAGAGGACGGGCAAACACAAAAACAGTCAAAATTTATTCATTGATGTGCATCGTTTTACCTTTATTTGAATAAAATTTGTCTTCTCTAAAAAAAAATAAATTAAAAGAACCCAATTGCATTCGCTTTTTCCTCCCCCTTCAAAGATTCGCACCAATATCCTTTACTGTCCAGCCATCAACAATCGTGCTGGCACTCAACCTACTACCATTTCTTGACAACTTTAAAGCTAAAAATTGTAAGATCAGATTCTAGGAAAGAATTTTCAAATACCCGTTACTTTCATTTGAAAATTTGTAGGGCAAAATTACATGCATGAAGTGACGCTGTACATAAATTATAAACAAGTGAAACTCTTTTCAGTTTTTATGTGAAAACATAAGCACAACTTCAGCTAGATTATATACGTGACAATAAGCGATATGACGCACACTACAACATTTTTGCCTTTCAGAAACATTTAAAACATGTTGGAAAAACTATGAAAACTGTTGCCTATACCTTTACGCAAAAACTTTAAAATAATGCTGCCTGAAGTAGTTACAGTTCATAATCTTTGCCCAAAAGTCCAATAAGCAACAGTTTCAAATTGTATATATAAACTTATTTTGAGTACACTTGACAACAGTTTCTAAATTTGAACTTGATTTTCTAAAAATAGGATCAATTTTCATGAAAAACTAAAAATATATAAATGTAACCATCAAAGACATAATTCAAAAACCATGCTAAAGTGATCGATTATAACATTGTAGTAAGTTTTATAAGTGTAGTTACGCACATTAACTTTTGAACATGAATCCATGGGCTTATACAGAATAGCCAACAAAAAAGACATCTTGATTTTATCAGATAGATATCACAATGTAAGTATTGGCCATAGAAAAAACTACATTGAAGATAAGTCACTATATATATATATATATATATCTCTATCTCAAAGTGAATATAACTTCTCATTTGTATCTCTTCAATCATCATGTTGGAACCCCTCACTTGAATCTCTTTCATCAGGATCACCTGCCTTCTGGAGAAAAATATAAAAAATTGTATCAAATCAAAATCTTGTCTCATGATATAGAAAATGTAATAATAGAGCAAGGCGAATGAATTCAACTTCACTAAAATATAAGAGGATAAAGATGCATCCAACATCTTAATGTTATTTTCTAAGTAAATTCAACACTCTAATTTTTTTAGTGGTTTAATTTTACCTATGATTTTGTTTTTTTGTTTTTTTTTTTGCAACTAGCTCTGATTTTATATTTTTAGTTACATCTAACATGTTTAAGATCATTGATAAAATTACACTATTAATAGGATTAAGACTTCTGGTTGCACCTTTAGCCTAAGAAATATCTTATTGAACTTTGGATCCATTCCAACACCAAATGAGTAGAAGCCAAGATATATTAACCTAACAAGAGAATATAGATGATATTAGCCTAAGAAATCCTTGTGATGCATCCACAAGGTCTGACAATGTTCAGTGCATGGAATTAAGAGAAAGTTTAATTTAAGGACTTGTTTGGTTTTGTCTTTTGTTCTCTTGTTCACAAAACAGTTTTATAAAATTATTTTTAAAACAAGTCTTAAGAATAAATAAAAAAATTGCTTGGATAATTATTTAAAAAAATAATATTAAAAAAGCATAAAATATCATATATGACATGCGGTGGCTGTCACTAGGGAGTGGTGGGTAAAAGGAAAAGAAAGTATTTCTAATTTTTTAAAGTGAAAAGAAAATGCAAGAAAAAAAAAAGAAAATATCTAAAATTTGTTTTAGTTTTTTAGTTTTAAAAACATGTTATTATTTTTTTTAAAAAAATAACCAAATAAAAACAAATTACCAAACCAGTTTTTTTTCCTTTTTGTTTTTTAACTAGAAACAAAATAACCCCAAGTTTCTGAAATCCTCATCCCCATATATGACAGCCCATATAATCTTTCTTAATTTTGATTTCAAGCATATAAAAAGATGAATTTACAAGTAGTGGATGCACGCAGAGAATTATGTTTGCAATGTCATTTGGAATTGGGAGCAAGAAAGAGATTAATTTAATAATCAAGGGAGCTAGTGCTCGACAGGGCTCCGGCAATTGCGGGACCACAGAACTCGGGCAAATGTGATGGGGGCTCTTTATATACGAAGAGAAATAAAAAAAATAATCATTAAAAAGTCCTAATAATAATTTAAGCCGCCTATAATAACAAGTTATAGGGTGGAGAATGATAATTTGTTGAACTTGTTTTGTAATTTTTTTCTTTCCTTAAAACCTCGTTGTAGTTCTTCTAAATTTTTTTTAAATAGGTCTTATTGTAAGTTTTATTGTAACATGTTATATTGCCTAATTTATATTTAAATTAAGAAAGATATGTCCACTAGAAATTGACCTTTAAATTAGTTTTGTTTATATGACTTTGTTTAGGCGCTATTTAACATTTGAAAAATAGGGACAAACAGAGTGTATTGGAGACAGAGTCTAAATTTGAATTTGGTCTCCCACATCGCTTGGAAATTATTGACCAAATTTGATAAATCTTTTGCTCTTGGAGTTTTGAATAGGGAGTGAAAATCGATAGAAATCACGAGAAGTATAATAACTAAAGAAAACTATTGGAGGCATTTAGAATACTAGCATTTGAAATAGGAAGTTGTTGTAAGAGAATATAGAAGAGATCTCTAATATAAACTCACTTATTGAAGCCGTGAGACTTGTACAATCCATTTAAAGATTTTTTATATGTTACTCTCTCCGGTTTAAATAAAATATAAGCTAAACTTTATTCATTACATTTATTAAAAAACTAATTAAAATCAATTTA